ACGGTAGAACAGGAACCGTAAGTTGGTTCTCGTTTTATCCGTGCCGCACCCCTGGCAAAACTCAGGAAGAAGAAAGACGAGGAGATACAGAGAGAAAAAGAGCGAGAGCTTCGATCCACGCGGAAGGGCTTAAGAAGAATGACCTCTTCCGCAACCCTTTGACCCCTACGCTCCCAACCCCCATTATCGCGTGATTCCTTTTCCTATCGGGCTCCAACTGTCCTTATTAATTAAGGAGGCTTCGTGACGTACGTTCGATAAATAGGAAGAGGCGAGGTGCTCTGGCCTCAACGAATGGCTCGACCTAACCTCACGTGACGGGCATCTTAACCAACGTCTCAAAGAAAGGGATGATCTCGACTTGCAGAGGAAAGGAAGAGGCTCTCGAGAAGATTGTGCTCCGTACACGGGAACTTTCTGTCCCGTTTTGGCGCACCGCTAAAGACTCCCGGGAAGAGACGCTGCTGCAAGAAAAATAAAAACTACCCTCTTCGAGGCGCTACCCCCCCCCCCTAGCCATCCTCCCGGGAGCCGTGGAAGCCGCGCGAATCCACAGCCCTCCTATAGCCTGCCTAGTCTTATATCCACTACCCTCCCAGTCCCGCTGAATTCTACATCGACCACAACCACCCAATCACGCTCAGCCTGGTCTCTTCTGCTTCTCTCGCCCTCTTAGCAACTGCTAAAAGCAAAACACCGTTCAATTACGTTTTCGGCTGCGAACAGTGGTAATTCGCGAGGCGCCTCCTTTGCCCCGCAATGCGAACAGACGACGGCCGTCTCTTCCTTAAAGAGACGAGTGGTAACGGCTGGTAAGAAGAAAAAGGAGGTAAAAGGACTGACGAGTTGAATGAAATGGAAGAAGATAAAGGCATTCACAAAAAAAAAGGCAACGGAGCAATAGAGGTACTTGGTGGAAGATTCGCAACTATGCACTTGACGTAAATGGATCAATAAAGACTGTAAATAATGCTATGGGGGAAATTCAAGCATTGCATACTACCGGGAGCACGTGGTTATACCGCTCGTGATGTCCATTCGAAAACAAATGTGAACACCTAATGAGGAAACGAAAAAAAAAAATGTATTTCGAACCGACAGTTTTGTTGAAAAAAAAAAAAAAAGAACCCACCCCATTTCCCATGAGTGTAACTAGTGGCGCATCAAACGATTCCCGTTAAGAGCACCCGGGACCAATTATCGCGAACGTTGCGTTTTCATCCCTCCACCAATTAGCGCTGCCAGTCCTCTAAAATAACCCCTGCCATCCCTCATGCCTGGAACAACCCTCATAATCGAGGATTGAGTTCCCTCGTCTCCGTGTCGCGTCCTCCCTTCGCGCTCGGAGAATTTTGCACGAGCCAAGAGGGAACAGTACCGATAGTACTGTGAGAAAGGATAAATGTCCTGAAACGGCGCTGAATCGGATTCGGAATTCTGGCTCCGTGTTTTTTGACTCGAAGTAAAAATAACGTAAAAGTACTGTCAACTTGAAGGCAATAAAAAAAAAGGAAAAATTTATTGGCCCGACTGACACAGATCTGTCAGATTCCTGTTTACCGAAATCAGGTAGTAAAAGTGTAAGAGGGTAGGGGACTACCAAAGCGCAGGTTGTGAAGGAAAGGAGTCCCTCGCGAAGGGGGATGAAACGTGTAAAAGTAAACGGGCGAAGGGAAGACTAAGGAAAAAAGCAAGAACCATTCCCGGGATCTAGGCATGACATGAGGACGAAGACTGAAAACAGCATACAGGAAGGACGGGGTGTAGATAGAGAAGAAAAAATAGAAGCAAGGCCGTCGAAAGTAGTAAACAACTGCCCGAAGTATTCCCATCGCGAAATATGAAAAGTATGTCGCGAAATACCAGGACCACAGGATTCCCCTGACGCCCTTCCCTCGGAAGCGTCGAGATCAATTTCTGTAACGGCGGAAACGGCAGCCAGTCCTGGCAGACGGTAATAAAATGCTGGGGAGCCGAGTGGGAGAGAGACGGCAATAGAGGAGGATAGGAATAGCTGCTAGAGGGATGAAGGACCGTGTTTACGGTACCCGGACTGCGAGTACGAGGGAATTCTGCAAAATGCCATGGAAAACCTATGGGCTTTGCCAGGGAGGATTCGAAGGAGGGGGGGATGAAGAGTTACTTTAACCATCGGGGATAAGGTGAAATTTTCAAATTGAAGTGGTGAAAAAAAAACCCAGACGCCGCTCTTTCTCAAACGGCAGAATAGAAGCGGAAACGTGGGTGGTTCCTGAGGGATGGGAAAAAGGAAGGAACGGAATTCCGTGATCCTGTCGATGACAAACGCCTACAGTCGTAGCGGAGTGAAAGGCAGCGCCGAGGACGATAAAAGTAGTAGCGACTGTACCTCCATAGATAAAGGTGATCGAAGCGATAGAGGTGATCGCAATATAAAATCTTGGTGGGAGCTGAGCCATATGGCGCTCCAGTTCAGCCGTTCCACCGTTCCACCGTTCCGCCGTTCCGTCCTGCCGCAGCTTCTTCGCCCTGTACGTCTCTACGTCCGTCCGTGCATAGACCCATTCACTTCTGCAGCGATATTTTATCGAGCTTCTCTTATTCTATTCCACCATTCTTCCGGATACACACTATCTTTTCCTGGAACAAGGGGGGACACACGTTTCGACTACCCTCCCTAGACATATCTACCAAGATTCGTCACACAGTCGCCAAGAACGAGCGAGATATCCGCGAAATCGATAAATCCGTAACATTATTTTGAGAACGCCCCTTTTCCCTCCCAGTAAGTACGTACAGCCAGCCTTCAAAAAAAAAAAAAAATAATAATAAATCATGAAGCCAGCATCATTTCCAGTCTCGCGCATCCTTCCGATAATCGATTTTCGCCTCGAGAAAAGTCAATCCAAAACTGAGTTCGGTAGCTACCCCGGTGCACCGTGCCCAGGGAAAGCACCCCCCCCCTCCAGATCAAATCGCGAAAGGATAACGTAGAAAGAAGCTGAGGTCCATGTGCTCTGCATCCGGACCATGGTTCGGTAATTCAGTATCCTTGGACAAGTTCACTCCAGGCCTAAGGAGAACTCTAGATAAGGCTTTGTGATCAGTCGAGTTCATTTTGACGGCTAATCGCGCTCCAAGGCAACCCACCGTATTTAATATCAGGGATATGACGTATATCCCGGATATGACGGATCTGCTACCAGCAACGTCACTCGAAGCTGCCTGACTGACTGGTTCGCTGGCTGGTTGCTTACGTACTTGCCTGGCTCTCGCTGCCTACCAAGATAAGACCTAAGGGTTATAAGGTTACGTGAGGGGTGAGAACTTTATATATACACAGATTCAGACGTAGGCCAACGTCTGTATATATATATATATAGAACTACTGTACGCAGGAATCGAGGGGGATGTGTATGGGACTGGGGGCACGTCTCGTCATTACTGGCCTTGCTCATGGTACCGTTACGAGTTACGAGGGAGGACTTCTGAAGCTCCTTGCAATTTCCTACGAGATCCTCCCTACTAACTGGAGACAACACAAGCTTCCTTCCCGAGCCCAGGACGCCTGTTTCCACAGAGTCCTCGGAGAATCACAGCGGGGGATTATATCTAAATCGTCTCGTCACTCGAAGCCTGGACTCATTCCGTTCGTGGTAGACGGGCGCGTCTCTATAAGGCGCATCCATATCGCCGCAAAATTTCCACTCGACTACAGTTCAAGTATCCCCGTAAAGTCAGTTGCATCAAGGCGTAGAAACGGGAGGAGGCAAAGTAAGGGACGTTAAAGCGTTTCCGCTTTGTCGCCCCCTGGTCCCCCCAGCCGCTACTCCATCCAGTTCCTCCTGTCTCCCTCATCCTTGGCACCGTCCTCTCGATTCCTCGGGGGAACAGAGGATCGAAGAAAACTTCCCGGGACCGTGAGTTTAATTTGTCGGCGTTAAGGCTCAGCCGCAAAGGACGATTGAATTCGCCGTCGTTACGCGACGTCGTAACTTGCCGCGTTACGCTGAGGTGCTCCGTGTGTTCCTCTTGGCTCTGGCGTCTTTAACGAGTTAGGAGAGTCCCTCTGCTTTCAGAGGCGCAAAACGAACTTGGACGCCCGTAGCGACGTTCAAGACCACTTTGGGTACGATAACCTTCGTATCTTCGACTGTCAGCTTGGGGCTGATTCGCATCAGCGCCCTGAATGACTACGACCTCGGGGTGGACGGGTGCGTGCGAAGGGGTGCAGATAGCCCTCGTTAAACGTTATTTATCAGACGTTTTGATACGAAATCGATAACTTACCGAGTGGTGCCGGAGGGGGTGGCCTCAGGAATACGGTCAGACTGTCAGGAACGAGCGAAACGAAGGATGCTACAGGACTCTCTCCTTCCTCCTGCCGCTATCCTGACACAGCGAGACACTCAGAGTTTCCCAACTACCGAAAAGAAAAAAAAAGCAGAAAATTAAAAAAAAAAAGCATGGGCACGTATTACCTCGTATATCGTGTAAAACGAATGGGGTGGCTATTTCGTAACTTATTTATCGAAGCAGTTCATAAGTTTTCTTCGAAACTTTCCGGAAGCTGGAGAAAACTTTTGATAAAGAATGTCGCGTTAAGATAATCGTACGAGATTTATCGTAATTTCAGGAGCACCAAAAAAAAAAAAAAAAAAAAAAAAAAACATTCCCTACGGAATAAAAAAAATTTTTAGAGCAACGTAACCCACCTCGTACTGTCTGATAGAATTTTCAGGCGACAACCAAAAAAAAAACCGCATACAAACGTAACATCTCTAAAGCACGAAGTAAAAATTGCTACAGTTTGAGAATCCCTGAACGCATAATGGTAGACCAATACAGTCGATATTTGCCAGGCTATAGACTGTAGTGGATATGATGGCGCATTTTTCTTGCCATCCATTCATGCACGGGACGTTGAGCGCATGCGCCGAGCCAACCAAAGAGTAAACATCCCCTCGCTGAGTAGAGGAAAAGAGCAGAATGCACTCTTGGTATCCAATATTATTAGACATTGTTCATTATAACGTGAAAGCGTTCGTCGTACCTCCGGATATAAAGCAGGACAACAGGAGGGCTGCTTTAATCCCAAATACCTAGAGAGACTCATGGCGATCCTCAGGGAGAGCGTCCCGACGCGTAACTCTTCACCATTGGTGTACGAGAGTCTGATAAAACAGTGCGTGATCTGAAAACCATGTTCCACTGTGCATGCAGACATTCGAACCAGCACGTACCTGTGCATAGAGCTACAGCTATACTTGTAATATAATTTCTTTCTTTTTTCCACTGTCCTTTTCTTTCATTTATTTCACCGCGAAGCGACGCACCGTGCTGAAGCAGGACAGTTCGTGCGAATCTCCAAGTTCCTGAGAATCCCAGTAATATTTCAATGCTATGTACTCTCCAATTTGCAGAAAAAGTCCAGCCTATTCTCCTCCGCGCGTCTTTGAAATTGCCCCACGGTGCCTCTCCTTAACTCCCACGAATACTCGGGCTTTCCAATGATTACGAGTTAAAGGGTTTCCACGGGTCGGCGACCGCGACCAGGACGTCAAATTGCGCACTACCCTCGAGAAAATTGCGTTTCGTTGATAATATCTGGTCAGCCGATAGGACGGGCTGCCGCGAGGGTGTGTGTCTCGTAGACGCGTGTATCCTAAGGGCGCGGAACTACCCCGTAGCTCTCCGCCGCCCCTCTGGCGCACGATACTGCCGGCTTGATATATGCAGCACCGAGGCGACGTGGCTGCCCGTTTTGCATTTTTACGGTGTACGTAGAATGAAGCGGTAAAGAGTCTCCTCGAGGGAGCAAAGGAGGGGAGGGAACCGACCTCTCGTATTGCGGATTACGAGAAGATTGTACGTGTGGGTGGAGTTCGCGTGAGTCACGTCGTTTAAGCCGAGAGGATTTTCGAAGGAGGATAAAAAAAAAATAAGGAAAATTGACTAACGGCAAGGAGATTATTTTCTCGTAACTCGATTACGAAAATCAGTCGGGTCGAAAGTGTCGATGCAATTTTTTTTTTTTTTTTTTTTTTCTAAAAATCTCAAGGTCACGATAACGATTCGCCGTGTCTTCAACGTCATCTGTATACCGGTGACTGAGTTACGCTCTGAATACGTACACGGACTGCGTTGGGACTCGAGGGGGGTCGAAGGAGGAGGGTAGGACAGCCCTAAGAATGAAAGAGACTAAAGGAAAGTAAAAGTGAAGGAAGGAGTTACGCCGGAGCTTCCAAGTGGCCCAGGAGCGAGACTACGGAATATCCCAATGACAATGGGCATCCTCTTCCGGCACTACACACAGATCTGTACCTATTCCCGTGGATGGCCTCTTACTGACTCTCGTTGACGGGTCTCGGCGGCCTCCGCGCCGTTCTATTATTCTCGGCAAATTGTGTGACCGTGGAAAGGCTCCGTTGTCCCGCGAATTACTGCCGTTAAGAGGCCGCAACAAAATTCTTTCGTAAACACGACTCGGCTGTACCGACGATTAATTTGCCAAGAATTTAACGCACGGGGTCGCGGGTTATGTAACGTGTACGTCAACGCACGTGAATACGTATCAAATCAGCCTAACGCTGCTATTGGGGTGGATGGCGGAATTGACGCCGACCCTCGAAGGCAAAATCGACGGGGAAAAAAAAGCGAAAATTCTTAATTCCCATTGCTCCAGCGAGGGAGAGGACCGAGGGTGGAATAGAGGCAAAGAAGAACCTTGGGGGTTGGTTTCCTAGCAACGGCAAACCGCTTAGCAGGGTAGATTTTGCAGACACAGCAAAATATCCCAAAGCCTTGTAACGAGATGCTATTATGATAAGCAGTGGCAAGTAACGTAGTAATAATGAGCGCGTGCTTCAATTTGAGGAATCATTTCAATTGTCCATGAAAGTCGCACGGAGAATTTAGACTCTGCAACCAAACGACCTGGGGTACATTTCTTTTTTCTTTTTCTCTTTAACTTCACTCTCACCCAACCCCATCCCTTTATGCTTTTTCAAACTTGTCTCCGGGGTTTTACGAGGAATACGAGTTTCTCTTGGAATGAATGTGCACTGTAAAATACTCCACAATTTTTTTTTTTTACTTTACTTCTCAAACTTTTAGTCCACGAACACCTGCGTATGAACAAACTAACACCTCCCGGTGACAGATGCAACCCTTCTTCTTAACGAAAAGAATTCTCTTTATTTCACGAAGTGTAGCAACAGAATCTCTGGTATCGATCGAATTGCAAATATTCAGTTGAAAATAGTAAAAATTGGGAAAAAAGTGCACGGCAAGTGGCGGGTGTGGCAGAAGGGGGATGGGGGGGAGGAGGTAAATGCTCTCTGGAAATCGCCCTCTCCGCTCTCTAATTTCATAAGCGAAACAATTAAATCATAACGAAAAGTAGGACAGCGCCGGCAAGAGGCAAGAACGCTGGAAAAAAGATAGTGGAGATAGTCAGAGGGCGAACGGCGAACGGCGAACGGCGAACGACGGAGAATGAAATAACGCGGCTGCGCTGTGATTAAATCGTTTGGCTTTAATTGCATCCTGGTCAAGAAGGTATCATCGTATCGCGATGCTATAAAGGATTGCTTGTTCCTGGAAAAAGGATTTTTTCAACGAAACAATACCCAAACGTCTGTAAGAAAAAACGTGCAACAGGGACAAAAACCCTCGTACCATTCTCCATAAATCTTCACGATCCTGCCATCGCATTGGTATGACCTAAGGAACATTTTAAAATCTTCAAAAACCAGAAAGACTCCCACGGGAGTGACAGAGATAGAGAGAGCACGAGGTATTTTTATCATATAAAAAAAATTCGACTTTCAAATTTGTCCGAAATTTATTTTCACTTTGAAAACACTGCGCCACAGTATTGGCTCCACTTTGCATCGAAGCAACGACCAATGACGGGTTCTTTTATATTTTTTATTATCCCATTTATAAGACCCCAGCGAAAGCTCCGCCATTCCAGTCGTATCCCGATTTTCAAATCCGGGAAATAATGCTCGATCCACGGCATTGGAATGCCATTGGAAAAAGAACAAGAGAGAAGAACGGCGATTCCCGCTCAGAGGGAAACCCGCGGAACCGGAAACTTTGGACAGAGGTTTGTTTTCGTATTTGCGGTCCTCGGTTTCGGATTTCCGGTACCGTGCCACTTCCGGCCTCTTTTTTCTTTGATACCTTCCTTATCCTCGTTCCCCGCACTCTCGGGACGTCCCAACGTCTCATTGCCATCCTATCATTATGCCATTTTACGATCGTACCCCAGTTCCAGTATCCTGAAAACGGAACCCGTGAGCTACGAATCCTATCCCGCCATCATATCTTCTCTCCCATTAAAAAATCTATAAATTTCAGTCGAGTAGAATTTCGAGGAGCAACAAGTGAAAGTATCGTCGGTATAAAGATAGATATTTCGCAGTGTCACCTTCACAAAATAATCAGGCGGGTCTCCACGGCGACGCTCGACCGCAACGACGCGCGTCTGCTAGATCCTCGAAGGCAATCCGTCGCTCCGTCTATATTCCCTTATAATGATCAAGCAGGCCGAGCTGGGATAGGAAAAAGAAAGGGGGGAATCCCTATGCTGGCGTAGAGCTTGGTTCACCTGAAAAGTAAACTGAACCTAAACCGGCACGACTTAACCAGAAGCGATGTAACTTCTGTAGTTTCGCGTAATCTGCTTATCGCGCGCTCGCATTAGGAGAATCGGCCTTTAACGAGTCGTGAATAAGAGCCGCTTGCTATTGCGACTAGAAACGGCAGATTGGCCGAGCGGCTTCCTCTCCGAAATGGCTAAAAATACATTTGGCCACCTCCAAACCGAAACAAACTATCTATCCGAAGTGTTGTTGCTGAAGTGAAAAAAAAATTTCATTCTCCTACGCGGACTCTTACAAGGAAACCCCCCCAACCCGACCCCACCGATTTCAATAATTTTTTGATATGTTGGTAGTACTCGACAAAATAAGAGACACGTATTTTTTTATGTGCTGACATCCACTTTAAACGGGTGAAAACGACCCCTGAAATTCACCCCCGAAAATCGTTTTTTTATCATATCTCGATTTCTAATTAATATTTTTTTAATAAAACCAAGTGGAAAATATTTGTCATAAGAAGTCGAAGATATGAGGTGTGTTTATGAACCAAGGGGTTGCAACCCTTATTTTATATTTTGAAAAAACTATATTTTTTATGCTTTTTTCTGCATAAAAACCGGGGTATGGTATTCAATTTACACATTGAAAATATCAATACTTACTTATCAAAGCCAGAAGTTATTTTTACAAACTTATCTTGTTTATGAATTGCTGACGACAGCTTTCTCGTTGTAGATAAGCTT